AGATCACTTATATGTGGAACCTTAAAAATAAAATAAGGCACAAATGAACAGACTCACAGACACAAAAAACAAACTTATGGTTACCAGGGGTGAAATGGGGTGGGAAGGGATAAATTGGGAGTTTGAGATTTGCAGATACTAACTACTATATGTAAAATAGATAAATAACAAATTTCTGCTGAATACATTCAGCATCTTGTAGTAACCTATAATGAAAAAGAATGTGAAAAGGAATATACGTATGCATATATATGACTAAAACATTATGCTGTACACCAGAAATTAACACAACATTGTAAACTGACTACACTTCAGTTTTTAAAAATAATGTTTAATTATTAAAATAAAAAAAGAGAGAATTTCCTGGACATGTACTCAGGAGGAGGTTTCAGATCAGAAGTCACATTAAGAAATTAGCCATTGAGTACAGGGACAAATCCATTCACATGTCATCTTTGTGGTCACCTGGCATACTGCCAACCCAGCCGTCAACATCGTCAAGTGGACAGAAGGGGAAGACGATAATATGGGAAGAAATGACCACATTTTCTGTAAGTGTTAAAGAGCCTGAAGATATTTCCCGGAATGGCTGAATGGTTTCCATCTCCTTAACGAGCGACACCTCATCAGGAAGGCAGAAGTTGATGTCATCTGTTCGCAGAGTCCTATTAAAGATATTAAAGATGGGTTCAGCGTCAACTCAGCTGCCTTTTAAGGTAACGCTCTTCTCATCATTTGAGATGTCCATGTGCACACAGTTTAAGTCACCATCTTATCTCTTTTATTTCTTCCCTCACCGGCTGAGCAACCTCTGCTAAGCTCCCATCTTGGAGAATGACACTACCATCCATCCAGTGAGCTAAGCCGACAACCTGGACTCTCGTGGTTTCCTTCCCTGAAGTTCCCGCTTCTCTCATTTGTACTCCCTTATCCCTTCTCCCGCCTGTCCCTTCCACCCCAGCCCTACTGCTACTGCCACCGATCAGCTTCTCACTGTTGTGCAGGTGGAATCTGGCCACAGTCTCCTAACTGGCCTGTCTTGCTCTCCTGTAACCTACTGTCCACGACAATCAGAAGTTACCATTCAAACACAACTCTGTTCGTGTTTCTCCCCTAGTTTAATCTTGCACTGCTTCTAGGAAGGGTTTAAACTGTTCAGCTGGCACAGGAAAGTCTTCCTGACCTGACCCCTGAACTTCACGCACTGTACCGCCTACCACACCCTTCGTCTCTTACCCCGCAGCCCAGCCGCTCGAGCATTCCCGCCTTCCTGCTTTTATGTCTCTGTCCAGGCTGCTTTTGCATGGAATCTTCTCATCAGTGCCTGGTACTGCCTGGCTCACCTTTACAGGCTCAGTTCAAGAATTATCTATGAAGCCTTCCCTATCTGCTCCTTTAAGAATGATCATTTCTAATTCCAGGCTCCCTTCACATCTGTACAGTCTTCTGATACCACATATACCTCATTGTGCTTTCTTGTTTCCATATCCGTCTTCCCTTCCAGGCTGAAGATGAGGCCACATTCACCCTCGTGTTGTGCTCGTATTTGTATTGCCAACTGGTTCCACGTCAGGCTTTGCCAAAGGGAGCTCTAGGAAGAGGCTGCAAGACTGGAGGAAAAGAAAGGGACTTGGTCCTCCCTGTCTGCCACTTTCTGGCTCCTCACCTGCTTCCTGTCCCTGTGAGGAGCCCTCCAGCAACGCGTCTCACTTTTCTGAAGTAGCCGCTAAACCCAGCTCGCAATTTCTCCATCCCTGCGGGACCAGCCTCACTGTGTCTCCCAAAGAGCCACCAGTGTGGCCCAGCGCTCCCTCCTCTGAGGTGTGGGTCCCAGTCCCTTGGGACCACCACTCAGCCAAGCCTCTAAGTTTTAATAATTCCAACCCCTTTCCTTGTTCCCCACAGAGACAGGAGCTGCTTCCTGCATCGCTAACTCCACGATACTGCAGAGTTCTCCTTTTACACTTTTAGCTACCTAGTTAGCAACACATCTGGCTAACAGTTCTTCTTAATGAATTTAAAATTTTCCGACCTTGCCCTGACTGATACAGTTGCCGGAACCAAAGAAATCACTGATGGGTTAAAAACTATTGCACAAATATGGATCCATAACATAAAAGCTCATCTCCAAAACACCCATGGGATTTGTAATAATTTTGCCTGCAACTTTATTTAGCACACGTTCATTCCCTGTGTCTTAAACGTGGCATTGTTTCAGAGAAGGCCTGGCTAACTTCTGCAGGTCCCTTCCTGCAGGGACCAGGCTAGACCAGACTCCTGGTGACCAGCCCCACCCCGGACCAGCCGTGCTCTTCCATCTTGCTCCAGCCCTGCTGTACCTGGGCCCGCCATCTTGGGCACCTGGCCCTGCCCCCTCCTGGTGTGTCATTTGTGTGTGTCGTCTGCCCTTCCCTCCCACTCCCCTGAGAGGGGGGGCCTTTCACCTCTTCCTGTGTCTCCCCCAAAGCTCAATAAAAGTTATACAAACAAATGAAGGAACGAAGTGGATAATTAGGCAAGGGCAAAACCCATCTACTTCGCGTCACCCCTGTTTGCGGAGCGGGCCCTGGGCACGAGGCCGCCTGGTAAGTGACGCTGACTGGTCGTCCCCAGGACAGCGTATGAGCCTGGCTTCCCGCCAGTGCTTCTGACGGTTCTGCTGTTGTCGTTTGGCTCTAAACCTCGTTGGAAACATGGCTGCAATTTCTTTTGATGGTGACAGAGGCAGTCATAGCAGGAAGAGCACGAGTTTGGGGTCAGAAAAACCGACGTGTAAATTCTGAACCTGCCGCTCATTACCTGTGTGACCTCAGGTAAGTTACTTAACCTCTCAGAGCCTCAATATTGTCATCTGTAAACTGGAGTTATAACAATAATCACCTATCAATTGTTACATGCCAGATATGTGTCGTATTCTAAGTGTCACATTAACTAAATTACCTTCACAACAACCTTCTGAGGTACTGACTGTTATGACCCTCAATTTACAGGCAAGACCAGTCTCAGACAGGCTGCACAGCTTGCCTAAGACCACCAGCTAGGCGTTCTCAGAGTTCAGGTGTAGACCCAGGCAGTCCGGCTCCAGACCCCAGCGTCCCAACCGTCTGCCTTCCTGCCTCTTTCCCTTCACGATGACCAGGAATCTCACTCACTGATCTGACATACACGGAGGGCATGGCCATACATGTGCTGCCTCAGGGACTCTCTCCTGGCACCCTGGAAGAGAATTCAGAAAGAGCGCGGCTTCGGTAACTCAGGGTCAGATTAGATTTACCTTTGAAATGACCGAGCTGGTATGAACGGTTATTTTTTGTTGTTATGAGCAATCTGGCAAAAGCCTCTGCCTCAAATAGTGGCAGGACATTTTCCTGCCATCCTTACTGGTCCACTTGGTGGAAGGTATTTGGTTCTGTAATGTTTGCTCTGTGCTCTGTTGCTAAGGAAAATGTGATGCCGTCAGACAGAAAGGCCTGGGACGCAAGGCCAGTCAAGTGAAGGAGGCTTGCTGAGCGAGCCACCCTGCGGCACACACACTGTCCCTTCACCCCGCTTCATGTGCCTTCCCAGGACCCCTCCCACCTGACATAATACACTTATTTGTTCGTATGTTGTCTGTCCTCCCACAAAATTACGAGCTCCTAGGGCCAGAGCTTTGCCTGCGTGCTTCCCTGCTGCACGGTCTTTGTCTGGAACAGCGCCCCTCCGAGAGTGGATTCTCTGTACTTGTAGAGTGAAGAGTGGACAACGTCTTCAGCCCCAGTTTTCCAGTAAATACAGAAAGATTCTTCATGTGTTATTGTTCACACCCATTCCTGACAGGAACTGACGGTAGAATCTTAAAATCTTAGAATCTAAAGAGAAGGAAGGTCCAGATATGGTGCAGAATCAGAGGTTGTGTTTCCTTTAGCGCTTGAGTGCAGGGTGCCGGGTACAGCCAGACAAGAGCGCTCAGAGGATGCACAGAAGGGAATAAAACATGGAGGTGGTGCTGCTGTGAGCACCACGAATAAGGTCCAATTTGGGAAATTCCTTTCAGAATTTGGTCCCAGGAAAAGATATTATCTCTCCCAAAGACAATGAGGAGAAAATAACCATGTGCTGCACTTTTTGCTTCGGCTGCTTGGAAGCATGGAAACAAACATATCACTCAGCAATAGTAGTGGTACTGACTCAGCCTATGGGTTTAGAATCTCTCTCTCTCTCTTTCTGATATACACATACAATGATTGAATGTAGGTTTCTGATGTATACCTAATCTGCTTCTATTTTGATAAATTTATAAGATGTGGTGTATATACATATATATATACACACACACAATGAAATATTACTCAGCCATAAAAAGAATGAAATATTGCCATTTGCAGCAACATAAATGAACCTAGAGATCATCACACTAAGTCAGGCAGAGAAAGATAAATATTATATGATATCACTTATATGTGGAATCTAAAAAATAATACAAATGAATTTATTCACAAAATAGAAACAGACTCATAGGCTTAGAAAACAAACTTATGGTTACCAAAGAGAAAGGGGGGGGGTTATAAATTAAGAGTATGGGATTAACAGGAACTCACTACTATATATAAAAAAAACAGCAAGGATTTACCATACAGCACAGGGAGCTATAGTCAATATCTTGTAATAACCTATAATGAAAAAGAATCTGGAAAATATATATATAACTGAATCGCTTTGCTGTACACCTGAAACTAACACAGTATTGTAAACCAACTACACTTCAATAACATTTTTTTAAATAAAAAATCTAAAAAATAATAAATTTATTACATATGTTTCTTGCGTTGCAAACCATCTCAAATTTAGTAAGTAGGATATAAATGTAAATATCCAAAGAAAGAAAGAAATTAGAGGAGGCCTAGAGAAACCAGCACTGTGGGTCAGGCTGCTGGCCCTGGAGGAGCCTCTCCCTTTCGGGGTCCCCGGTTTGACCTCCCTCTCTGGTCCTTGCCGCCCCACCCCCACGCTGCCCTGGCTCTGGGGGCAAGCAGTGGTCTCGTCTCTTTCCACCTGTTCTTCTGTGTCTCTCAGACCAGCCACACATCTGACAAATCTGACCTTGAGCTCTTCTGTCTAAACTCCTTCCGGGATGCCCCCTGCCCCGCAGAGCACAGTCCATGGAGCCGTGTAGACTCCCCAGCCACGTTCCACATCACGCCTCCCCCAAATTCAGACTTAGCCACGTGATTCTGTTGATGAAAGTGTATTGCATGCCTACTGCATGCCTGGCACTTTGCCCTGGGGGTGTGGAGCCGGCGAGCCTAGCTGTCTCAGTGAAGCCCCCTCCACACTCCATCTCTCACATCTCCCGTGTCCCACCTTGTGTACGGCATGTATTCCTCTAGTCTTTTGCTCAAGTTCACACCGGTGGACAGGGACTGACTTAGGTTTATGGTTTACTTCCTCTGCTTGACTCTGAGGTCATGGAGAGCACGAGCCCTCATCCATTCATCTCGATGTCTTCAGAGTACGGAGGCCGGCACACGGTGGGTGCTGAGATGTGTGTGTACATATATAACACACACATATATATTACATGCACATATAAATACTTGTGTATGTGTGTATAATAAGTTTTTAATTGAGGAAATTAAGACCATGAGAGGCAGAAAGAATAGGGCTTTTCACATAGTATGTGCTCACTAAATATTTGTTTATGGGAAGAAAAAAAATGAAGTTCAGAGATACCCAATAACTGCTTAAGGGAAAGTTTTGGATGGGCTGCATAAGCAGTGAACGTACGTGTGGGAGAGCCACGTCTTCTTTTGAAAGAAGATACAGTGACTGAATCTTTGAATGTGTGTATTTAGTTCGAGTTAATAAACTTGAACTTGAACATCAACTGTAAATAGGAAAGCTGACTGAGCAGCTGAAGATCGAACAGCCAAGCCCGCACGAAGCATCCTAGTGAAGCACTGTTGCATTAAAGGCGCGCACTCTGGACCCGGATGGACCCTGGGTTCAGTCTGCCTTATCAAGTTGTCTTGCCTCCACCGCTAACCAATTGGATAACTTTGGGCAAGTTAATTAACTTTTCAGAGCCTCGGTTTCCTATATAAAATAAGAATAAAAATTACCCAGTTCACAGGTTATATGAGTCTGAAATGAGACAAACCACGTGGTGTGTGAGGAGCACAGTGAGGATGCTGCCAGTACCAACGGCCAAATAAGACATCAAAGCTGATTCCAGACTGACCTCCTAATTCACAGAAAGAGCCATGTTAACTTTTCACGTAAGTATAAAAATGTTTACTAAACCCCAAAATATTTTAAGCTGAATCATATGCAATAATCAATATTCAACTCTTCCTGACCTTTTATTGTGGCAGTAGCTCTTCGCGGCCCAGGACTTCCTGTCTGGTGCGGCTGGCCACTGACCACGCGGAGGCGGAGTCCTTAGATCGCCTCTGTCTGCTCTGACTGCCTTCCCTCGGCCGGCTTGTTCCTTTATGCTTGTTCCTAACGCACGCTCTGCTTCTCTCTAGAAAGTTCTCACAGAGACTCCACGTCCGCAGCAACCAGGCTGCCTGTGAAGTTCACTTGGCAATTAATCCCCTGCTGCCTCACGACAAGCCCTCTGTTGCCCTGAGCTGTTACGTGAACCTTGTGTGGGTCTTAGCGTTTGCAGGCCAGAAGCTACCAGCAGGGACAGAAAGCAACCCGGCCTCCTGACTGGGGAAAGGCTACGCGGGCTGGGGGGCACTGGCTCGAGGAGCTGGGAACAGGAGACTGGAGAGGAGGAGGCACAAAAGCCACGCGCCAGACAGCGGCCACCAGCGTCCCGACAAGGGGTCTGAGGGACGGAAAGGACTTGTTCTGTTCAAATCCAAGATGTAAGGAAGTGGGATCCACAGAAAGCGTCTTGAGCAAGAGGCTGAGAAGTCTTGTGACCTAAAATCTGAGGCATGTGATTATTCTTCACCTCGGTTCAGAAGAAAAGAGAGCCTTTGTTCAGGAGTGATACTCAGGGGACAGCCCCGCAGGGGGATGTAAAGTGCACTTTCTAGACACTGCCCGAGAGGAGGTGGCATTTCTACAAGGTTGGATTCTACGGGACCAGAAGACGCTACGTTCCCAGCTCTCGTCTGTCTTCTAGCTTCCCGATGGCTCGTTCTCCAGGGGAGGCACTGTGCTCAGACTGTTCTTGTAACCTGCACAAGGTCTACCTAGCGGTAGAAGCACTGTAAGTGCTTAAAAAAGTCTGCTGGGGTGATAGACTGGGGCATCCAGTCCCTCCACCAGACAGGATATAAGGATGCAAGAAGGGAGGCAAATCCTTGTAGTTATAATTTTGGATACTCCTAGTAGCTGGGTGCCCAGTGGGTTCTGTGTTTCTTAACCTCACCTTGAGACTTTAAGGGCTTCACTACCATTCATATGTATGGAGTATGCTTCCTACATAATACTTAGTATCTCGTTGAACCCTGCATCATAGATGAGATGGGTATTATCATTCTATTTTAATGATGACTCAGAGGCTCAGAGAGGTTAAGGAACTTGCCTCAGGCCACACAGCTAGAAAGGGGCAGGCAGCAATTTGGGCTTCTGACTTCTGTTCCTAGCTTTGGATAACTTTCTTCTCATGAACACTCACAGAAAGCCATGTCCAGAGAGGGGAGGAGGAGGCGGGGAGGGGGTGGAGAATGGGGTTGCCATTTGTCTCATCATTCAGCAGCGTTTCTGGGTGTGCGCATTGATCCCAGACTGCTCTGCGCTCGCATCCTTGCCTTCCAGGTAGAGGTGTACCCCCCACCCCCCCATCTCCTCACCCCACCCCCTGCTCCCGGTCTCAAGGGCTAAGGAGTGATGGATGAAAGGTAAGCTTCTGGCCAGGAAGCTTCTGGTGGGTCAGGAAGCTGGCCAGGCTGCCAAGGGCCGCACCAACGAGCAGGGGGGCCAGGAGGGCTGGATGGATGATCTTGATTCAGTCTGTGTCTGACTCTAGAACCTGTCTCCTAAGCCTGGAGCAAATCTCCGCTTAGCTACCATTTTCACTCCCTCCTGCGTGGCTGCCACAGCCGCACATGGCCCCTGGCTCAAAAGCGCTACATATGTTCCTCCTAATTAGTATGTGACGTGGCGGCTCACAGCTAAGACAACAGTACTTTCGGGCTGTCTCTCCCTACGGTGCAAGGCAGATGACAAGTGGGCCTTTTGTCTTTCACATGCTATCTGGACTGTGACATGCCCCAACGGACAATCCAGGCGGCAGTGGGTCGCGAGCTTCAGTGCAAGATGTGACATGTGTCAGGAAAATGAGCTGGCTTCCTCTTCATGTCAAAAGCTTGCTTTTTGTGAGAGTCCAGGATAGCTACCAGGTGGCTCCCTTTGTCTGGTGGGTGGACCGTGGTGAGGCAACCCCCCAGAGCTGATTCTCTTGGTGAGACAACTGGGTATTAAAGATCCTGTGTTTCCCGGCCTCAGCCTGACACCAGATTTACCCGGTAGCCTTAAGCAAGTTGCCAAACCTCTCCCAACCTCTGCTTCCTCGATGGTAACACAGCTGTTCTGGAGTTTGTTAATAGTCCCGGGGAAGAGTTAATAAAATGAATCGTGAGACAAACCAATAAATATTAGTCAAAGCTGACAACGATGATGCTTTTGCAAATATGAAAGTGCCCCAGGAAGACAAGCTTGTCTGATTCTTCTGAGTGACTCCCGTAAGGCTGGGCTGGCCCCCAGGTACTAGCACGGAGCTGCTACACAAAGAGACTGACATCTGCATCTTATTCTCTTCGCTCTTCCCACTTGGCTTCTATTTAGATGGCTGTCTAAGGGGACGCCATCAATATCCCATTAGTCACGACTGGGCTAAAGGTGTCTTTGTGTCCGGGTTTGTCATTAATCTGCAGCAGTGGTGTGGTGACAGCATCAGCAGGGCACGCCAGCTGGGATGTCAGAGGAACGGACTCCATCCCACCGGAGGACGCGGTGGATCAAGACAGATCAGAAGCATTCCAGCCCAAGGTTCCGGGAAAGATCCCCAGAGGCTGAAGGCAGCTTCTGACCAGAGATGTGCTCCTCGAGGAGAAATGTGTACATGCAGTTCAAAGCCTTTTGTCCTCAGCGTTCTTAAAGTTTATGAAAATCTACTGCTGCTGAATTTCAATTAAGGACTTTTTTCCATGACTGAAGTTATCTTTGCATTCAATAATCTTTTACTGAGCACGTCTTAATGCACCACGAGCACCTCCCTCCCTCCTCAGCACTAGAGATGTTAAGGATGAAAAAGGCGTGATGCTGGCGTTAAAGAGCTTACAGTCCGTCAGGAGGACCAACACAAGGTAGACAACCTCAGTACGTGCTGAGGAGACCTAAATCCGGGATGCTGCGGGAGACAGATGGGGGGCCTGACGCGGCAGGAGGAGTGGCTTCTGGTTGAGGATGACCGATCAGCCCCACACGGTTAACTTCTCTCTCTCCCTTAAGAGATTATAACCAGTACTGTAATGGGGGTATATTGTGAGCATAAACCCACAGTGATGTAGAAAAGGCAAGAAGTGCCTTTAGACGAGAGACTTTTAGCCCATCAGTGGGAGAAAGTGTATGGCGGGGAAGGACTGGGGATGAAGGCTGTGGCCGCAGTGACCCAGAGCACCAGAGGTGAGAGGTGAGTGGGGCTCAGGAAGGCCCAGAAGGTAGAACTCGGGCCGGACCGAGTTGAGCACTGGAGTCTGACAGGCGGCAGGAATCAGGAGGATTCATCGAGGGCCTTTATGAGAGAGGCTGTCTGTGAGACCGTCTCCCTCCCCACAGTATATCGAGCTGCTGAGTGTCAGTCACCACAATAAGTTAGGGTGTCCTTCAAAGCACTGACTGCCCCTGTAGTGTTTAGAAGTCCTTCCGAGGAAGACGGGCTTTGTGCTCCTTCACCCTAATGCGGCGTTCTCACAGCGAGTATTTTGTCCCCAACAGGGGACATTAGGTAGTGTCCAGAGAAGACATTCTTGGTTGTCTGGGAGGACAACCAACGTGGGACAGGTGCTACTGGCATCTGGAGGGCAGAGGCCAGTGATGCTGCTAAGTATCCTGCAATGTACAGGAGAGACCCACACGACGAAGAGCTACCTGGCCCCGAACGTCACTGGTGCCAAATTTGAGAAGCCTGCTCTAACGCGAAGCCCTCCGGTCTACAGAGCCCACACGCACAAGCCTCAAGCAGCGCCCCGCAACCATTGCAGCAACGTCCCACTGCAGGCACCAAGGGCAACTCAACGCGCCTGGTCCGTGCTGGATGCCGTGGGCGACGCTCTAGGGCAGATCAGGAAGCGGACATTGAGAGCATGGGGTGGGGAGGTTTCAGCATTGGTTAGAAAACTCTGAGAGTGTGCATCCAGATTTTATTTTTTAAAGAAGGAAAAGAAAGCATAAGAATTAGGAAAAAAGAAGGGAAAGGTCCTGTTACATGACGGGTGACAGAGCTGACCACAGTACCCACCGCCGGCCAGCAGAGGGCAGCTGGGGCAACAGAGCAGGACGACGGGGACTTCTGCCCTCCAGGGAGGCAAACCCAGGGATGAGCACTCACTAGCAGAAGTCAGGGGTTCAACTGGGATTACAAGCAGGAAAAAGAGAAGGCAGCTGCTCACTGACCCCAGGACAACACACAGCGAGCCGACACCTGCTGACTCCTGCAGGAACAGGGACTGCATAGTCCTCCCGCCCACCTGCACCCTTGCACTATTACCAAGTGACCTCTCCAATTTCCACGAAAACTCCCTGCAGGCTCATAAAGCCCAGTTTGTAAATTTAAAATAGGTAGAGCTTGACTCTCTGAGGCGTGCCAGAGCTTACTCCTGCCAGCAGGGTTCTGCGGCCCACCAGGAACCTTTTGGGGAATCCTCGGGGTAGGACAAGATGGACAGAGCAGCCCACCAGCCAGCTGTCGCCCCTCTCTTCTTCTCCTGCAGCTGCATTCACCTAAAGCACCACAAGGGCGATGGAGTCACCTGTCCCCTCCACCTGCCCTCAACTGCGGCTACTCTGGGGGGCTAAAGTGCCCTCTGCCCCTCCCCGGTGGTTCTCAGACCAGCCCTGGCCAGCCTGCCAGTGGTCTTGTCTGGGCTGGCTTGCTGGAGTCCATTTTGAGAGGACAGTCAAAGGAGAGAGGTGAACATTAGTGGAAAATTGGGCTGATGCATGATGGTAGGAACTCTGCTAAGATTTCTCCAGTTATCAGCATTCCTTTTCAATCACCCGTTGAAGCTAAAGGGAACAGTCAGGTCCACGTGTGACAAATCAGGTTTTAGTCTTGGGTGTTCCGTGGAGACAGTTGCCACCCATCACAGAGCCAGCTCACCGCTGTGTGATTAGCCAGAAGAGTATTTACTGTCATAACACAGCTCAGGGATATCAAAACATGCTTCTCATTCCACCGGATTACTTTGAATAAAATGTTAATTCATAATATGTTCTCTCACTTCTTTTAAAGACTTTAAGTCAAGCCTTTCGGGGAAGAAGTTAGTGTCTGGCAGCAGGCATATGGTTAAAGTGGCTCGTGGACTCTGGCTCCACAGAGAGAAGAAAAATCTGAACCCCCCTCGGCCTGCCTGGGGACGTTACAGAATGAATGTTAACGTAATGAGTTCATAATAGGCAATACAGTTCATTTTAATTAGGATCCTACAATCCTAGAAATTAAGTTGGACGAGACCTATTAGGTCATCTGGCCTGTCGCCTTCCCGTCCCCTCTTCGGGGCAGCATTGCTCCCTGGGGTCTGCTTGCGGACGCATGCTTCAGTCAGATTCAAACAACCGCGGCGATGAGGTTTGCATCGTTCCCCTTGGGGAATTATTGCACAGTCTAATGGATTTCACCATGATTATGTTTTTTTCCCAGAGATTCAGCCCAAATTTCTCTTTGCTTGAGTTTGTCACATTTTTCCTCATTATGTACCCTCAGATTAAAAAAAAAAACTACCACAAAAACGACAGTGAGAAAGACCACGTCTCTATTTCCAACTCTTTAGCAATAAAGTTGGGAATCTCCACCCAGGCCACTTTCTCAGATCCAGATTTGTAAGTGAGCGAGGGCGCCACTCTTTGTTTCTACCCACGTAAGATCCTTTCCTTTTCTCGTAAGAGGAATCCACAGCCTTACCAGGACGGGGCCAACTTTGAGCTCCACCGTACAGCGGACATTATTCAGGCCTCTCTGCCTTGTCTGCCCCCT